TATAATAGATAAGAAAGGGGACACATGATCTTTATAAGTTAACAGGTAGAGACATGAATGATAAACATGGAAGAAGGCCTGTACCTAAGTGCAACGAAAGAGATATGACATGGATGCAATTATACCAGCAGGAAGTAGGCATGATATTTACAAGTTAAGCAAGTAGAAGGCATGAGCAACACAATAACAATTGAGATAGAGAATAAAGACAGAACAGTGACGATGAGTCAAATAAGAACCATAAGTACGACAGTAACAATTAGGGATAAAGACATGAAGATATCTGCAAGAAAAGGATATCACAACATAACGCATGTCCCTCGTCCTCACTTGCACGGAAACACCTTTCGTGCCATGAACTCGCAATAACACAAAAGCATAACAATATAAATGCAATGGCACGGAATCACCCTTCGTGCTTTTACTCACATAACATGGCACGGCATCGCCCTTCGTGCTTTTACTCTCAATAATATTGCACAACATCAGCCTTCATGCTTTTACTCTCAATAATATGGCATGACATCAGCCTTCGTGCTTTTACTCTCAATAATATGGCACGGCATCACCCTTCGTGCTTTACACTCTTCCTTACCAGACATATGTATATCATTGACAAACAAGGAAGGAAACATCAATAACATCAAGGGGAGTGTTTAAACGAATATATCAAATGAATCCGAATCACAACTTTCCAAGGCAACAATAGTTCAATAATCCGCAAGAACCTTATTATTCAGGTATTCCAACAATTCTCACCAATGATCCACTACACAAGTATAGAGTCTAGATCTCAAGAATATCGGCCCTAGCAATGTATTAATAATTATGCATAGTGATGACCAAATTAGACACATCAATATGTTCTCAGGATCTCCATCAAAATTGATCAAGTCATAACAAGCCAAGTCTTAATTCCTAACATTTAACACTATGATTTTAGTATCTAGGATTCAAGTAAGGCATGAAACAAGAAGGTCACGTAATTCTACAAGACACAATTATAATACAATCTACCCCCAAGCATGATTAACCCCGACACATACATATACGCTCGTAACCTCATATATGTAACACCCCCGCATGTAGCAAACAAACTTACCTCAATTCGGCTAACTCAATACTCAATTTAGCTTTTCCTTTACAAATTCACCTTCTCTTGGCTCAATCTATCCAAAGACGACTTAAATACATCACACAATGCAAGGGAAAACAATCTCTATTAATAAAGCTGTGATTTTTATTCAATTTCAAAAAAGTCAATAAAAGTCAAACCCCGGGTCCAAGGGTAGGTCTTGGCTACCCATAGCCTCATGAGTTCAAATACATATTTTGTTTTCAAATCCGAGTCCTATTCGACTCTCAAATCCTAAATTTTCATTTTTCAAAACTTGGATAAAATTCCCAAATTTTTTCCAAGATTTCTCATGAATTTGATGTTAAATCTTATATATAATCATGAAATGTAGTTGAGAATTGATTAGAGGTACTAACCCAATGATTTGAAATGAAAATCCTCTCTCAAAATCGCCCATTCTCGGACCTAGAGTTTAAATATGGTAAAATGAAGCTAAGTCCCGAAATGGGAGTCTTAATACCAGCCTCAGATGTCGCATTTGCGACATCCGGATCGCAATTGCGATGCTCGTAAATGCGACAGAAGCATCGCAAGAGCGAATGCTGACCAGCTCTGTTCAGGTCGCAAATGCGACACAAGACTCGCAAATGCGAGCTCTGAGTTTTTTGCAAAAGCGATAGTTGGTCTCGCAAATGCGGAGCTGCAATCGCAAATGCGATGATGTAGTTTGCAATTACGAACTCCCATGCCCCAGCCCATCGTCGCAAAAGCGAGAAATATATCGCAAATGCGAGAACAGAGACACCAGCACAGCTGAACCTTCTTCCAACACTCCGAAACGCGTACGAAACTCATGGAGCTCCATGCCAAACATCCACGCAAGTCTGAAAATATAACACGAACTCGCTCGCGCGATTGGAACACCAAAATAACTTCTAGAACCACAATCAGATGCCAAAACACATGAAAATCACCATGAACTTCAAGAACTTCAAGAATCGCAACCAAATGTTCGAACCCTATCAAATCAACTCCGAATGGTGCCAAATTTTGCAGACAAGTTCCATATGACGAGACGAACCTACTTGAAGCTTCAAATCACACATAACAACCTCGAAACGATGAATCGTATCTCAAGTCAAAATCAATGAACCTTGAAACTTCAACTCTTACAACCGATGCCGAAACCTACCAAATCACGTCCTATTGACCTTAAATTTTGCACACAAGTCTCATTTGACATTACAGACTTATTCCAACTTTCGGAATCAAAATCCGACCCCGATATCAAAAAGCCTACTCCCGGTCAAACTTCTCCAAAAATCCAACTTTCGCCATTCCAAGAATAATTCAACTACGGACCTCCAATTTATAATCCGGACACACTCCTATGTCCAAAATCACCCAATAGAGCTAACGAAACCGACGAAACTCCATTCTGAGGCTTCAAACTACCGGGCGAAATGAAGATACTCAAAATAACCAGTCGTGTCGTTACAGTTGCATTTTGATGTAACTCACTATGCTTCAATTTCTCCTCTTAACGAAATTCAGACTTTTGGAAGGATTAAAGACCATTTGAAAATGAAATAAATTAAAAAAATTAAATCAAACAACCTAAATTAAGAGGAGAAAGAAGAGGCTCCGAGTACTTGGTCATTCTGTAGTTAGTACTCAAATTCACATATTCGACTAATTTAAATTTATTGAATCGAATAATTCCAAATATTAAATGCCTAAAGCACAAATTCAGGAAAGAATTAAAAAAAACCCTCATGAATCCTAAATTTGTTGTTCTAGTTGCCTTACAAGAAGGAAAAAGATAAATTAAAAAAAAGGGATGAATAGGTATGATTTGTGGAAAAAAAAAGATGTATTTTTTTTATGAAAAAAGAAAACATATTACCATATGATGTCTTACTCATCATATATCAGCAGTGGACCTATGGCCGGCAATTACCAATGTGTTTGTCCTTTTACTTGTAGACTTTTTGTGATGATCCCTTATAAGACAAAAACAACCTTTTGGAGTTTTTCTTAATTTGGTGTCCTTTTCCAATAAAAGTAATTTAATTTCTGAGTCTACTTAATTCTTGAACTCTTTTTTCATTTGGTGCCCGTTTGCGTCGAAAGTAATTTAATTTGTCGTTGTAGATTAAATAAAATCTGCTATTTGTTTCTTGACGTGAGTGTTAAGAGGAGTATTAACAAAAACATATTCAATTATTAATTACTAGCAAGGGCCACAGTTAGCGTACGTTTAAACATTTTCATTTTAAAAACAAAAGAATAGGTTTATGGAGAATATAATAATGTATAACCAGTCATTTTCAGCAAATGTACATTTCTTTGACCAAAAAATAATAAAAGAGACAAAACAGAAATTATTCAATATTCAAATTGAGAAGAGTACTCTCAATATTTAGTCCATCAAGTAGATAAGTAATTAAATATTGTATACGACGTCACTATGGAAAGTCATATTATGGAGTTTCCAGAGTAAACAATTAGAGTGGAGCCTTTTTTATTTTATTTAAAATTTGGTGTGGATTACTTCACTATAATTAGCTAGTAAACAACACATATTGAATCATATCATCAAAACTACATCTTTTGAAATATTTTCAAGCTAGTTGGAATTTGCAACAACCATTGTGAGCCTAATATTCCTTTGTCTTTAGCAGAGCAAATAAGATAAAAACTACCTTTTAAAGTCTTTCAGCATTAGGTTGTATCATTTTCTTATCCAAAACATATACTAATATAATGCACTCATCACTTTTGAGATCCAAATGCTGCATTTGAGGTTCATAATCACAACTTTTCTTTGATTTTTCTGGTTATTTTTCGATTTTTCTGGTTATTTTGATATCTACCTTTCTCATTGGTTACTTGAGAGTTTAGATATCACTTCTTCCCACTAATTTCAAATATCACTTCTTCCCACTAATTTCAACTTTGAATTTCTTGCATTGTTACATGTCTTATTCCACCATCTTTCTGTTCTTGTCTAACGAAAACTTGTGGAGTATTAATTAGTTGCTTGATTTCCACGATTCAAGTAGTGTGAGTATTGTGTTTTTTTTACATTCTAAATTTGTTTCTGTTACATTAGAGGATGATTTAGGGGAAGGAGGTACGAGACAGTGAGAACTGAACTCACATATATTGTGTGAGAAATTTTCACCGATAAAACAAATTGTGAACTTTAATACAGTAGTTTTTCATGTGGAAAAATGTGTCTATTAGATGTTTTAGGCAAAGGATTTTACCATTTTTTATCTTGTTGTTTCATAGAACTTGATGTATTTAGCAGCCATGGATCTAAAGGTTGAGATCGAGGAAGAGAACACCCAGAGGATTAGAGAATCTAATTCTGTTAAGAAGAAAATGATAACCGTATGTGTATACATGACTGTACAATGTGTTTATATAAAGTTACACTATAACTACTTTCCTAACTAGTGTGCTAACTAACTTATCTTCTAACCACAGTCTACAATTTAACTTTTAACTCTAGTAACTTATCATCTTGTCACTTTAACTCTAGTCAACATTTCCTCTCGAGTTGATGACTGGTATAGATTTTACTCCCAGCTTGTTCAGCAAATAATCATGTTGAAGTTTTTCCAAGCTCTTTGTCAGTAGATGTGCTAGTTCATATCTAGTATGCACATACTCTGTCTTCGGCATTCCTCGGCAAAGTTTCTCCCTAACAAAGTGACAGTCGATGTCAATATGTTTTGTCCTTTCATGAAAGATGGGATTGGCTGCTATTCGTATAGCAGCCTTACTGTCACAGATCATACTTATAGTAAGGCTATACTTTTGAACAATCCCAAGTTCGTTGAACAATCCCACAAGCCAAGTGACTTCTGCTGCACATGAGGCCATACTTTTGAACTCAGCTTCCATTGAACTTCTAGATACAGTCATCCGTTTCTTTGATTTTCAGGATACTAGTGCATTTCCAAACTTGAATAGATCTCCGAGTCTCTACATATGCTCCCCAATTAGAATCATAGTAGGCAAACAATTTGTCTGTACTTTCTACTAGCATAAGCAGCCCTAGGCCAGGTGTTTCTTTGATATATCTCACTACCCTAAGTGCAGCTTCCATATGTGACTCCTTGGGATAATGCATGTACTCATTTAGGACTAGAACTGCAAAGGCAATATCAGGTCTAGTCATCGTAAGGTACAATAATCTTCCTACCAGCCTCTGATAATCGTTAGGATTCTTAACTACTCGATCACCTTCTGGCCTGCCATTCTCAATGCATTTGTCATACTCTATAGAGATGAGTTTTTTTTATTTAACTCTAATAGAGTACCAGATGGTTTTGCTCCACCTAGGCCTGCTTTAGATATCAACTCTAGTGCATACTTCCTTTGGCACATAAAAATCCCTTTCTTTGACTTGCAAACTCAATGCCCGGAAAGAATTTTAGTTTGTTATTAGACTGTATTTGTAAAATAATTCTGAAAATATAAATGAATATAAACAGAAATGAACATAAACAGAAATGACATAAAACCAATTCGAGCCCACTGAATTCACAGTGTTTCCTTAAGGAATTTAATCCCCTCCTAGTACCCAAGGTTATGGATTATTTGCTCCCAGGATAGAACGAATTACAGACTGGTGTAGTGGTACTTCAAACCCCAGTGTTTCAGTGAACACAAAGTTCGGTAGCAAATCACACTTACTTTTTACTTTGTTTGATGCTAAAAGTATGCAGAAGAAGGAGAGAAAACTCAGAAAATCGTAGTGAAATTCTGAGCAGAATAGTGTTGTATTTATAACCAAAGTTGGGCTGAAATCTGAAGAGGTGCAACTCTTCAGAATGGCTGTTTATGCAAAACGGCCAGCATAAATGCCATTAAATACATGGCCATTTACTCAACAATAAAGAGGTAAAATAAAGAGGGAAAATTGAAGAGGATAGTTACTTTTCTGTTACCAAAACAGAAAAACGGATTGGATTTAATATAAATATTCAATATTAATATTCTGTTATTAAAATAAATATTTAATAACATTTCTGTTAATATTTTACTACTAACAAATAAATTTGGTCCAGAAAGTTAATCAATCAATCGATCATTTGACCAAATCCAAATCCGAATCCGAATCCGAAGCCGAAGCCGAAGCCGAGCCGAGCGACGACGACGACGGTGCGAGGCTTGCCTTCTTCTCAACTCTTTAAGAGCTAGATGAAGAGCAATTGCTTATATACCCATAAAAAACCTCTTCCTCTTCCAATATGGGACAATGTCCATTTGCCAAGGGGGGAAACTTAAAATTTCACTCAAAATTTCATTTCCCATTCACCCTCTTTTTAAGTGTTTAATATATTAATTAAATACAACAAAACCCCAACAATCCCCCACATGAATGGGGAATGGCTATGTCACGGAAGTATGCATGAAAAACTGTGTGATTCGCAAGCAAGGATTAATTGCATCTGGATAAGTAGGTTTCCCTTTGAACTTTCCGTAATGAACTTATGTCGGATATACTCGATCAATCGGTAGATTTGATATCTTTGAACCGTCGAACTTTGGTGTATACCTAGACAACCACAAGTCACACAACCAACCCTTAACCGTCTTTGGTTCTCATTGTTGTGTTCGTTTCAGCCATGAACACCGCCTGGTTTCATAAGTGCATAGAGAACTGGCCTTACAAAGTTCTCCTTGAAGCGGCTAACACTTCACACTTACATAGGTGATCCTAAATGTGTCATCCCGTAGATACACTATTTGATATATCCCGTATCAAATTTAGAAATTATTAAAAAGCCTTAATGCTTTATCCTTAGTACTGAACATTGTCTCATCGCGAGAATGGCCCAAAAGTTTAGTTGACAATGTTGAACCGTCATTAATGACTTTGTTTGATCTCCTTGAACCTAGATCTTGGGATCTCCAGTCTTTTAGGTAGAGTTACCGCCACTATGACTTGTTCTCGGCCACAGTCCCATTCCTCTTGATGACTTCTCAACTACCTCTCTAGTTAGGCCTTTTGTAAGTGGATCCGACACATTATCAATTGACTTTACATAGTCAATCGTGATAATTCCTCTAGAGAGTAATTGTCCAACGGTTTTATGTCTTCGTCGTATATGACGAGATTTACCGCTATACATAACGCTCCCAGCCCTTCCAATTGCCGCTTGACTATCGCAATGTATGCATATTGGTGCCAATAGTTTGGGCCAAAATGGAATATCTTCCAAGAAATTCCGGAGCCATTCAGCTTCTTCACCGGCTTTATCCAAGGCTATAAACTCAGCCTCCATAGTAGAGCGGGCAATACAAGTTTGTTTGGACGACTTCCAAGATACCGCTCCTCCACCAATAGTGAATACATATCCACTTGTGAACTTGGAATCAGTTGATCCGGTGATCCAATTTGCATCACAGTATCCCTCAATGATCGCAGGATATTTACTGTAGTGCAAAGCAAAGTCCTGGGTATGTATTAAATATCCCAAAACTCGTTTCATGGCCATCCAATGAGATTGACCTGGATTGCTCGTATATCGACTCAATTTACTTATAGCACAAGCTATATCTGGTCGTGTACAATTCATGATGTACATTAAGCAACCCAACACACGAGCATAGTCCAATTGTGATATGCTTTGGCCTTTGTTCTTTGCTAATGGAAGATTCACGTCAATTGGAGTCTTTGCAACTTTGAAGCCCAAGTGCTTGAATTTTTCAAGTACTGTCTTAATATAATGAGATTGTGACAACGCCAGACCTTGAGAAGTCTTATGGATCTTAGTTCCCAGAATTAAATCAGCAACTCCCAAGTCTTTCATATCAAACTTGCTAGTTAGCATACGCTTAGTAGCATTTATGTTGACAATGTCATTACTCATTATGAGCATATCATCCACATATAAGCAAACAATGACTATGTGATTTGGAACATTTTTAATGTACACACATTTATCACATTCATTTATCTTAAATCCATTTGACAACATTGTTTGGTCAAATTTCGCATGCCATTGTTTGGGTGCTTGTTTTAATCCGTAAAGGGACTTAATAAGTCTACAGACCTTCTTTTCTTTACCTGGAACCACAAACTCTTCAGGTTGTTCCATGTAGATTTCTTCCCCCAACTCTCCATTTAAGAAGGCCGTCTTAACATCCATTTGATGAATTTCAAGACCATAAACTGCAGCTAATGCTACTAACGTTCGTATAGACGTAATTCTTGTAACTGGAGAGTATGTATCAAAATAGTCAAGACCTTCTTGTTGCTATACCCTTTGACCACAAGTCTTGCCTTATATTTGTCAATAGTTCCATCATCTTTCATTTTTCTCTTAAAGATCCATTTAGAACCCAACGGTTTATTTCCAGGAGGAAGATCAACCAATTCCCATGTATGGTTGTTCAATATGGATTCTATTTCACTATTGACTGCCTCTTTCCATAACAATGATTCCGAAGAAAACATAGCTTCTTTAAATGTTTGAGGCTCATTTTCCAATAAGAGAGTCACAAAATCTGGTCCAAATGAAGTAGACGTTCTTTGACGTTTACTACGTCTTGGAGCCTCCTGGTTAAGTGTACTTTCTTTTGTTTCTTCCCGAGGTCGTTTAGATCCTTCACCAAACGACTCACATTCCTTTTTATACGGATATATATTTTTAAAGAACTCAGCACTATTTGATTCTATAACTGCATTATTATGAATGTCGAGATTTTCTGATTTATGAACCAGAAATTGATATGCTTTACTATTAGTCGCATATCCTATGAAAACACAATCAACGGTTTTCAGTCCTATTTTTACCCTTTTGGGTTTAGGAACTTGCACTTTTGCCAAACACCCCACACTTTAAAATAATTCAAGTTGGGCTTCCTTCCTTTCCATTTTTCATATGGAATGGATTGTGTTTTGCTATGGGGTACTCGATTTAGTATTCGTCTAGCCGTAAGAACAACTTCCCCCCACGAGTTCTGTGGTAAACCAAAACTTATCAATAATCCGTTCATCATCTCCTTTAATGAACGATTCTTTCTTTCTGCAATCCCATTGGATTGGGGCATGTAAGGAGCTGTTGTTTGATGAATAATTCCATATTCTAAGCATATTTGTTCAAAAGGAGATTCATATTCACCACCCTTATCACTTCTTATCATTTTGATTTTCTTGTTAAGTTGCGTTTCAACTTCATTTTTGTATTGCTTGAATGCGTCTATTGCTTCATCTTTACTATTAAGTAAGTAAACATAGCAATATCGAATACTATCGTCAATAAAAGTTATGAAATACTTCTTTCCACCGCGAGATGGTATTGACTTCATGTCACAAATATCTGTGTGAATCAAGTCTAAAGGATTTGAATTCCTTTCAACCGACTTATAAGGATGTTTAACATACTTAGATTCCACACATACTTGACATTTTGATTTGTCACATTCAAACTTGGGCAATACTTCCAAATTAATCATTTTCCGTAAGGTTTTATAATTGACATGACCCAAACGTATATGCCATAATTCATTTGACTCAAGTAAGTAAGACGAAGCTGAAATTTTATTATTATTTTCAACAACCATTACATTCAGCTTGAAAAGGCCCTCAGTGAGGTAACCTTTTCCTACAAACATTTCATTCTTACTTATTACAACCTTATCGGAAACAAAAACACATTTAAAACCATTCTTAACAAGAAGTCCAGTAGAGACTAAATTCTTCCTAATCTCGGGAACATGAAGGACGTTGTTCAAAGTCACCACTTTGCCGGAAGTCATTTTGAGAAATATCTTCCCACATCCTTCAATCTTGGCCTTTGAAGCATTTCCCATAGAAATCGTCTCATTGGGTCCAACAGGAGCATAAGTAGCAAAAGCTTCTCTAACAGCACAAACATGGCGAGTGGCTCCAGAATCTATCCACCACTCTTTAGGATTTCCTACCAAGTTACATTCGGAAAGCATGGCACATAAGTCATCAACATCATCATGCTTTTCAACCATGTTTGCTTGACCCTTCTTCTTGTCCTTCTTCAGAGCACGACACTCCGTAGATTTGTGTCCGGTTTTTCCACAGTTGTAGCAGTTTCCATGAACCGCTTCTTGCTTGGGTTGTATTTCGGTCCAGAAGCCTTCTTCCTCTTTTTGTTCTCTTCAACAATATTTGCTCCCATTATTGTTGAGTTTCCACGACCTCTCTTTTCAGCAGCTTTGTTGTCCTCTTCGATTCTCAACCGAACAATGAGATCTTCAAGGGACATCTCCTTGCGTTTGTGTTTCAAGTAGTTTTTTAAGTCCTTCCACAAAGGAGGCAACTTCTCAATCATCGCTGCTACTTGAAATGCTTCATTTATGACAAGACCTTCAATGAAATTTCTGTTAGTAAAAATACTAAGATTACTACTTTCAACATCAATATTAATTTGATATATACCTACAGCAAGGAGATCGTGAATAATCACTTAAAATTCCTGGACTTGGGTAATAACAGACTTGCTATCTACCATTTTGTAATCCAAAAACTTTGCAGAAACAAACTTTCTCAACCCGGCATCTTTGGTTTTGTATTTCTTTTCAAGCGCAGTCCACAGTTCCTTTGACGTTTCCACGCCACTGTAGACGTTATACAAAGCATCCTCCAGCCGGCTTAGAATATAATTCTTGCACAAAAAATCTGAATGCTTCCACGCCTCAATCACGAGAAAGCGTTCAGTTTCTGGAGTTTCATTAGACAGCATAGGAACATCTTCCTTGATGAACTTCTGGAGACTTAGAGTAGTCAAATAGAAGAACATCTTTTGCTGCCAGCGCTTGAAATCAATCCCGGAAAATTTTTCGGGTTTCTCCGCCGGTGCCAATGCTGCCGGTGTCGTTCGGCTTGTTGAGGCATTGGCAGTCACCATTGGAACAACTTGGTTCTCATTCTCATTAGTCATTTCTGTAAAAGAATGACACAAACGTTAAAATCACGTAGATTTTAATAGAGTACAAAACCACAAAGGTTTTACTCTTCCAGAAACAGTAAGTACAAATACAGAAAATATATTAAATTCCTTAAGCTTGTTAGTAGACTGTATTTGTAAAATAATTCTAGAAATATAAATGAATATAAACATAAATGAACATAAACAGAAATGACATAAAACCAATTCGAGCCCACTGAATTCACAGTGTTTTCTTAAGGAATTTAATCCCCTCCTAGTACCCAAGGTTATGGATTATTTCCTCCCAGGATAGAACGAATTACACACTGGTGTAGTGGTACTTCAAACCCCAGTGTTTCAGCTAACACAAAGTTCGGTAGCAAATCACACTTACTTTTTACTTTGTTTTATGCTAAAAGTATGCAGAAGAAGGAGAGAAAACTCAGAAAATCGTAGTGAAATTCTGAGAAGAATAGTTTTCTAGGTCCTTCATCTTGAACTTCTTTTGCAACTCTATTCTAGTGTCACACAATAACTGATCAATGTTCCTTGTGATCAGTAGATTATCTACATATACAAGAATGATAACTATATCACTATGAGTTCCCCTGATGAACAATGAGTAATCATAATGGCTTTGTTTGAATCCTAGCTACAGAAGCACCTTTGTTAACATCATATATCATTGTCTTGATGCTTGTTTAAGGCTATACAGGGATTTTATGAAGTTTTCAGACCTTCTAAGTCTCCCATGTCTAGCAAAGCCCAGTGGAATATGCATATGCACTTCTTTAAGTAAGTTCTCATTAAGAAGTGCATTATGGACATCCATATGATAGATCATCCACTGTTGTGAGGCTGCAAGAGCCACAATAGACATGATTGTAACCATTTTAGCTACAGGAGAAAAAGTTTTACTGTAGTCTAGACATTCTTTCTGACTGTAGCCTTTAGCTACAAGTCTTGCTTTGTATCTCTCAACTTCTCCTATGACTTTGTACTTGATTTTGATGATTCATTTACAGCCAATTGGTGTCTTCCCATGAAGAAGATCAACAATGCTCTAAGTCTGGTTTTCTTCTAAGGCTGCAGTTTCTAGTTTCATTGCCTCTATCCACTTAGGATCAGCAGTTGCTTCACTAAAGGATTGAGGCTCAGAACAGGCTGAATATGTGACAAGGCTTGACTGTATGATGGAGTAATGTGTGAGCATTTTACATGAGCTGAGATAGAATAGGAGCATCTGTTGTTCTTGGACTTCATCACATAATCATTCATCCATAAGGGTGGCTTTCTAGGAAGACCTCCTCACCTGCTCAAAAGAATCAGCAGGTTGATCCACTGCTCAAAAGAATCAGCAGACTCTGTAGTATCTATAATTTCTGCATGATATGGAGAGTCTTCAACTATGTTATGGGGAGCACTAACATTGAGGGTTGGAGGCTCCCCCTCAGATGTACTACTAGGTTCCAATGGATGAAGATTAGCACAAGAAGAACCATATGTGGAGGAAGATTCGATAACTGTACTATCAGGTGAGAGTAGGTCCAATATAGAAAATACAGTTCTACCAAAAGTGAGCATATGCTTGAAAGAGAAAATATCTTCCTGAAACACAACATTTCTGTTAAGAAAGAAAGACTTAGAGTTCAAGTCATACATAATATAACCCTTTTTTTTGTGGAAGAATATCCCATTAGAACTGCTAGAATGGCTCTTGGAAAAACTTATCAAGAACTCTGGGCACACTGCATAGCACTAATATCCAAAGACTTTAAGTGTTGCAGTGAAGGAGGTTGCAAATAAAGCAACTGAAAAAGAGATTTGTACCCAAGTACTCTAGAAGGCAGCCTATTGATGAGGTAGATTGTAATTGTGACACATTTACCCCAAAAATTTAGAGGAACTGCAATCTGAAATCTAAGAGACATGGCCATATCAGCTTTCTCTCAACAACTCCCATTCTGTTGAGGAGTGTAAATGCATGTGCTTTGATGAACAATACCAAGACTAAAAAGTAATTATTTAAACTCAAGACTAAAAATCTCACTACCATTATCAATCCTCCAGGTTTTCACTGAAGTTGAAAAGATGTTCTTTGTTTGAATTAGGAATTCTCTTAGTATAACTATGACTATGTCTTGAAATTGATCAAAAAAAGGCAAGTGCATTTGGTACAATCATAAACCATTTTAACAATGTAACGACCCGGCCGGCCGTTTTAAAAATTAATGCCCCATCCCCTATTAACTGCTTTTCCCGTATTTATTTCTGCTATTTTGAGTTGCCGGGAGGTTTTGTTTGGAGTTTCGGAGAGTTTTGGGATACTTAGTCCCTAAATGAGAGTTTAAGCTTTAGAATTTGGACCGCAGTCGGAGCAGTGTGAAGACGGCCTCAAAATGGAATTCCGTTGGTTCCGTTAGCTCCGTTGGGTGATTTCGGGCTTAGGGGCGTGTTCGGATTGTGTGTTGGAGGTCCGTAGCTTAATTAGGCTTGAAATGCTGAAAGTCGAATTTTTGAAGTTTCCGGTTCGATAGTGAGATTTTGATATCGGGGTCGGAATGGAATTCTGGAAGTTGGAGTAGGTCCGTTGTGTCATTTGGGACGTGTGTGCAAAATTTCAGGTAATTCGGATGACGTTTGATAGGCTTTTTGATAGAAAGCGGAAATTGGAAGTTTTGGAAATCCTTTGGCTTGGATTGGAGAGTGATTTGTGGTTTTAGCATTATTTGATGTGATTCGAGGGTTGGAATAAGTTCGTATGATGTTTTAGGATTGGTTGGCATATTTGGTTGAGGTCCCAGGGCCTCCGGTGAGTTTCGGGTGCTTAACGGAAGTTGAATAGGACTTAGGAGAATCTGAAAGTTGCTGAAGTTCTGTCATAACCGCACCTGCGGTTAGGGGACCGAAGGTGCGTGATCGCAGAAGCGATTGAGGAGCCACAGATGCGGCTATGCTCTTGGAAGCCAGATTCCGCAGGTGCGATAGTTTGAGCGCACCTGCAAGACCGCAGGTGCGGTAGAAGAAGCGCAGGTGCAGCCCAGTGCAATTAATGAAATCTCGCAGATGCGCACCTGGGACCGCAGGTTCGAGTCCGCAGGTGCGAGGAAATGGACGCAGGTGCGGAAACCCTGGGCCAGAACCTATGTAAAGGTTCAGTCGCGATTTTGCCCATTTGTTCACCATTTTCATCCGTATTTTTGAGCTTTTTGGGAGGTTTTTGAGAGAGGATTCAAGAGAGCTTCGAGGAGGTAAGATTTTTGGAACCCAAAAATTATTGTATTTTCTACTGATTTGGGCAAGGAATATAGGGGAAATAAGGGTGAAATTTGGGGGTTTAGGGTTTGAAATTGGAGACTTGGAATTGGGAATTTGAGGGGTTGTTTGTGGTCCGATTCTCGTGTTTTTGGTATGTATGAACTCGTTAGAGTGTGAGGATTTTTTTAATTTGTAAATTTTACCCGATTGCGAGATGTGGGCATGGGGGACTTTTTGGACGATTTTCCTAATTTTGTGTATTAGCTTAGAATTAATTAGTTGAATTAGTTACTTGAAGTTATATTTACATTATGCAATTACTTTGAATAGATTTGGGCTACTTGGAGTCGGGTACTCGTGGCAAGAACATGGTATCGAGTTGATTGAGGTGGTTCGAGGTAAGTGGCGTGCCTAACCTTGTGTGGGGGAACTCCCCATAGGATTTGGTATTGTTGATATATGAAATGCCTTGTACGTGAGGTGACGAGTGCGTACATGTGCTAATTGTTGAAAATCCGAATTTTATTAAGTAAATAATTGTGTATTTCTTCCCTGTTTACACTACTTGAAATTTAAGCCTACTGTTAGCTTAGGAAAATCATGTCTAAATGATTCAATTGTTTTACTTGCTCAAACTGCTTTATCTGAATTCTGTGCAGCATGCTAGGTTAGAAATACATGTTTACCTTGGTATGAGATTGGATTGAATTGAATATTCTTCGTGTTGTTGCTGTGTGTTTACTTTGGGACTACGGGCGATTTCCTGGTAAATCCCCCTTGCCTGTTTATTTGGGACTACGGATTGATATTCCGGTAGATCCCCCTGCACAGATATATGGAACTACGGGACTGCGCCCGGTAGATTCCCCCAATACTGGGTATTTATATTTGGGACTACGGATCGGGATTCCGGTAGATCCTCACGCACTATGAGTGGACTACGGGACGACACCCGGGAGTTCCACCTGATATTTACATTTGGGGGCTACAGGACGGTATCCTGGTAGATCCCTGGTTGTTATCTCTGTGTTGAGATGTATTCTTTCTGTGATGTTTTTTTTCTCTGTTGTAATTGTTGTTATTCTTATTAGTATACTGTGTTACTTCACACTATTCCTTTTCCTTATATATATGTATATGACCGGTAGGACCCTGACCTTCCTCGTCACTACTCGACCGAGGTTAGGCTTGGCACTTACTAGGTACCGCTATGTGTACTCATGCCCTTTCCTGCACATGTTTTTCATGTGTAGATCCAGGTTCTTCAACTCAGCCCTACTATCCTTGAGGTGAGGCGATTCTCTAGAGACTTCGAGGTATATCTGCCGCGTCCGCAGACCGAGGAGTCCCTCTCCATTTTCTCTTGTAGTTATAGCCCTTCTATACTTCTTTTGATTTAGATATTCCGGAGTTAGAACACTAAGCAGTATCCATAGCTTGTGATTCATGAGATTCCGGGTTTTTGGGAGTTGTTCAGTTTTTGAGTTCTTGTATTGGTATATGCCGAGCGGCATCATAAACGCTTCTATATTTGTTTATTCTCAGTTTTTATTAGTCCTTCTGCTTTTTTGTTTCTTTTTTCGCAATTGTTAGGCATACCTAGTCGTAGAGACTAGGTGCCGTCACGACAATTCACAGAGGGCAAACTTGGGTCGTGACAAGTTGGTATCAGAGCTCTAGGTTCATAAGAGTCATGAATCACAAGCCGGTTTATTAGAGTCTCGTGGATCGGTACGGAGACATCTGTACTTATCTACGAGAAGCTATGTAACTGTTAAGAAAATTCCACTTTATTTGAATTCCTTGTCGTGCGAGATTTTTGATATTGAAATTCTAAATTTCTGTCTTCTATTCTCTCACAGATGGTGAGGACACGTGCTGCTGGAGGTGACCAGACACCCACGCCCCCTGCGAGAGCCGTCAGAGGTCGGGATCGGGGTAGAGGCCGAGAACGCACACGCGGTGCAGCTAGAGCACCCGCCCGAGCTGCTACCGAGGAGCCACCAGCAGTTCCAGCTGGAGCCCAAGCGCCTGACACGCCTACTGCTACTACTACTCCAGCTCTCCAGGAGACTCTTGCGCAGTTTATGAGTATGTACACCACTCTATCTTAGGCAAGGTTGCTTCCCCTTGCTGCAGCCACATCCCAGGCCAGGGGAGGAGCACAGACTCCTGCCGCCCGCACTCTTGAGCAGCGAGTGCATGTTGAGCAGGTCCCAGAGATTATACCGGCACAGCCTGTAGCCCCAGCTTAGCCCGAGGAGAGGGCAGTAGCTTCAGAGGAGGAGTAGAAGAGGCTTGAGAGGTTCAAGAAGTATCAGCCTCCTACATTCAGTGGACTAGCATCAGATGATGCTTTGGGATTTCTAGAGGAGTGCTACTGTATCCTCCGTACCATGGGTATATCAGGATAGAGCGGGGTTTCCTTCACTACCTTCCAGCTTCGAGGAGCCGCCTACTAGTGGTGGCGTACTTATGAGTTAGACAGTCCAGATGAGGCAGCTTCCCTGACGTGGACTCAATTTTCAGATATGTTCCTGAGAGAGTATGTTCCTCAGAGCCTCAGGGACGCATGGCGCGCAGAGTTTGAGCATTTCCGCCAGGGTACTATGACAGTCTCGAAGTATGCTGTCC